TCTGGATCGAGTTTGATTAATATTTGAGTGTCTTTTGGTCGAGTTTGGCAAACTCGCTTCCATTGTAGGCCGAGTTTAAGTAACATGTCGAGTATTTGGTTGTGTTATCCAAGTTTTACAACCCTATATGTGATATAATTTTAAGTTATAACCTTATAAAAGACATCGCTATTATCATATATTCTACATAATTATAGTAATATATATGATACAAAAAACAGTTAATTTACTATTTAAGATAAAAAATATCTCTATTATCATATGTTGTACATAATGATAATATTTAAGATGGATAAAAAGATGTCTCTTTTATCGTATGTTTTACATAATGATAATATTTAATATAAACATTTTAATTTAATATAAAAGTATAATTTAATAGATAATAATAATGATTTATTTATTTTTAAAATTAATTTTTTTTATATTTTAACCATATAACTTGTTATATGCACAACAGCTTGAAGTTCGTACATTATCTCTTATGATATAGTTCAACATAATGATAACAATATTTTTTTTATATTTGTTATGAAATTACTATTTAATTGTTAATAACAATGATTTAGTTATTTTTAATATAAAATAATTTTTCCTATTCTGCGCAACGCGTGGGCACTTACCTAATTCATACATAAATTAGTCATATTTTAACACAAAATTCAAAAAATTCACAGTTTAATAAATTTAATTTATAACTTAATACATTAAATTGATAGTTTATTTTTAGAACATAAAATTGAGAAGTTAATATAATAAATTATAGTTTAATGCACAAAAGTTATATATTAAAAATCATATTCTCAAATTAGAACTTACACTTACACATTCATATGTATAGGTTAATGATTCTTTTAAAGTTTATCTACAAAAATATTAACAATTTAATTTTTACATATTTTATTCAAAATTATATAAAAACATAATAAATCACACATTCGCAACTTACAACTTATGTTTTTCATTTAAGCAATCATGTATATGTAAACAAAATACATTAACAACCTAAAACTTATTAAAAAAATTCATGCATTCACAACTGAAAGTTTATGTATATCATTGAAACAATCAAATATGTATAAAAATCATATATTTTCAACTTAAAACTTATAAAAAAAAGCATGTATTTACGGCTGTAAACTTATAAAAAATAATATGTTCACAATTTAAACATATGTTTTCTTATTAATAACTACTAAAAGTAACATTAACATAACTAAACAATAAATGAGACATTAAAACATTTCAATTCATGATTTTTAAAACCCTAAGTTAATATTATTGAGAAAAATACTAGCATAAGAAAATACAAAACTTCAAAAAAAAAATCATGTATTTTCAACATTTATAGTTTAAAATTTATTTTTTTCATTGAAGCGGTTAGATATGTATAAAAAAAATCATGCATTCACAACTTAAAATTTATGAAAATCATGCATTCAAAGCTTAAAACTTATATCTTTCATTGAAACAATTATATTTGTATAAATATCCTACATTCATAGCTTAAAACTTATCAAACATCATGTATTTGTAGTTTAAAACATATAAAAATCATACATTCATAGCATTTAACTTATAAAAAATTAAATATTCTCAAATTAAAACTTATATTTTCTTATTAATAATACTTAAAACTAACATTAAAATAACTAAACAATAACTAAAACATTAAAACATAACAATCACAAGTTAAAAGACTTTTTTTTTAGAAAACACTAATGTAATAACACATTCTAAACTTAATTCATAATATAAAACCCATAAGGCATAAGCTATGAATACCAAGTTTAGGTAAATATTATAAAAAATAAAAAATTAAATTTCGATTCGCAACTTAATAACAACATATCAAAACTTAATAATTTTGCAAATATTATAAAAAATTAAAAAAAAAAGGTTGGAGTCATAACTTAATAGTAGTGGATTCATAACTTAATCATATTGAATTCACAACTTAATATCACTTAAACAAATAATAACAATAATAAACAACAAAAGAGATATTAAAACATTAAACTCACAACTTAGCATAAGAAAAAAACAATAAAATCAAAATTAACATACCTGATATAGATTTGATGATGTTTTAGTGAAGATCATAGAGAAAGAGATGGAGGTGAGTTGGTGGTGCTTCATCGGAGCGGCAAGTCAGCAGCGGTGGTGACGGTTGACGACGGTCTCAAATCTAGTTCATCAATCTCGTCGGAGCTCGTAGATCTGGAGGCATAAATCATATATCTAAAGGTGAAAATCATAAATATGCTGCTGGATATCATAGTTCTATTGTCGGAAAACTCAGATTTGAACTGAATGACTTCGGATCTAATGAAAATGAAGGATTTTGGAGGTTAACGGCATGCAACGGTGGTTGCCTTATTAGTAAAGGAGGTAGTGAACCAGATATGAACAGATCTGGTGGTGTTCCATAGGGATCAAGGAAAAAAATAGAGATATGTCACCAGAGTAAGATCTGGCCACTCAATCTTACTGGAGCATGTAGATTTGGAGGAGTAAATGATAAATTTATAGGTAAAACTCATAGATCCGTCATCTTACATCGTAGATCTACTACCAAAGATCATAGATTTGGACTAAACCACTATATATCTAATGAAAAGAAAAGTTTTTAAAGGTCGAAGACAAGCTTTTATGGTTGGTGGAGGAGGACCTAGACCAGATCTGTTCAGATCTAGTGGTGTTTCATAGAGATCGAGAGAAGAAAAGATTAAAGCGACATGAACACATATCACTGGAGCAAGGTCGTAAGAGTGTTAAGGTTACGGTGGTAGAAGTTGTTTCCGCCGGAGGTAGATGGCGGCACCAGAGGCCGGTGGTTGGTGGCGATAGAAAGTCGTCGGAGATAAGAGGGAGAATTAAGAGATGTTTAGAGAGTGAGAGAGAGAGGGAGAATGAAATTTTGTAATTCTAATTTTTTAATCTAGTGTTTTATGTTTCAGGTGTACCATTTCGTTGTGAATTGGATTACAGTTCTTTTTATTCTCAATTATGCAATTATCTTTTAACAATAAATGAACAAAAATACCCCTTTACAAGATTTATAAATATTTATTTGAGAAATGACAAATATAATCTTAATTATAAGCTAAAATTGATGGTTCTTATGGTTCTTAATCTTTTTTGGTTCTTATTTGATCTTTTACCTATATATATATATATATATATATATATATATATATATATATATATATATATATATATATATATATAGGTACAGGTTCATTTGAGACCATTCTAATTTTGTAAAACTGTGAAACCAGATCTAAAAATAATTTTAAAATGCAAAATAAATTGAAAAATCCACAAATTCTTTTTTTTAAATATTATTTTCGAAACTTGAATTAACTAAAAAAAATTAAAATAAAAATAAAAAAATCTCGTTTTTTTTTTTTTTTTTTTTTTTTTTTTTTTTTTTTTTTAAATACGTGAAATATTCTAATTGAATATTACACTGACATATTCTAAAAAATAATTTTAAAATGAAAAATAAATGAAAAAAATATAAATTTTTTTTAAATATTATTTTCGGAACTTAAATTAACTAAAAAAAAATAAAAAAAATCCTTTTTTTTTTTTTTGAAAAATACGTGAAATATTATAATAGAATATTACACTGTACATATTCTAAAAAATAATTTTAAAATGCAAAATAAATGGAAAAATCCAAAAATTCTTTTTTTAAATATTATTTTCGGAACTTGAGTTAACTAAAAAAAATAAAAAAAACATAAAAAATGCGTCTCAAAGTCTCACAAAATTAGATCATCTCATATGAACCTAACCTTTTATATATATATATATATATATATATATATATATATATATATATATATATGTATAAAGTACAAATAAATAAAAAAACTTGTCAAAAAATCTCAGAAAATATTACCTATCAAAATCAATAAAAATACAACATTTGATAAAAATAACTTTCATTTTTTTAAGCCAGATTCCACCAAACATAAGCTATAAAATAAGTTTAATGAAGAAGTTCACAAAAATTGATCCAGCTCATCAATCCAACCCGAACCCAACCCAAAACTAGCAGGTTAGGTAGAGATTTTCAACCTATTTAAGTTAAATGAGTCAATCCGTCTAACCAATTTAATTAAATACATTGGATCGGGTAAAAAATATCAATCCGTTTTCAATCCACAAACTCATTTAACTTTAATTTATATTTAATTTAATAATTATTTAAATATTATCATGTATTAATATAAATATTAGTTTATAATATTAAAATTTTGTATTATTATTTATGTTTTTAAAAAAATGAAATCATAATTCTTAACTTTTTTCTTGGCACCAAAAAAACTAATCATTTTAAAAATCATTTAGAAATTACATAACTCAGTGTTATTTGAAAATTTTATTTGTATATTTGAATTTGGATTGTGTTTTTTCCATTCTATGAAATTTTACTTAAGTTTAGAACTATTTTAGGTCGTGTGATCTTTAGTTACTTGATTAATTTATTTTAATTTTAAATGGATCAACCAAAATTTAACAAATTTATATAATAGGTTGTATCGAGAACTACATAAATAGGTTACCACGGTGACAATCTATTTACTTAAAAAATTGAGTTCGATTTGAAATATCAACTCATTTAAATAAAAAAAAAAATTGAATTTGATTGAAATTTTAAACAAAATTAATTAATAAATGGGTTGAAATGTAACCCAAATCGATGCATTGTGAGCTTTCGGAGCTTTGTGGTTCCAGAAAGGGAAGGCGTCTTTTGAGTTCTTTAAGTTTTTGACTTTTTGACTTTGTGGACTGCTCTAAACATCTGTGTCACCAACAACTCAATTTTCATTTGTCGAATATCTCTTTCCAGCTCTCTTCATAGATTCGCGCAAACCGCAAAACCTTTAAATTAATGCCCGTTTACTCTTGATTTCCGGCGACCGGAATCTCAAAACTTTCGTTTGTTCACAAGATTCAGCTGTGCGTGGTTACATCGGTGATTGATTATGGCGGATATAGTGAAACAGATCCTCACAAGACCGATCCAGTTAGCGGATCAAGTCATAAAATCTGCAGATGAAGCCTGCATCAACAAACAAGACTGCTCTGAACTCAAATCCAAAACTGAAAAGCTCGCCGGCCTCCTCCGGCAAGCCGCTCGTGCCAGCAGCGATCTGTACGAACGTCCGACCAAACGTATAATCGATGATACAGAACAAGTGCTTGATAAAGCACTATCTCTAGTGCTTAAATGCCGGAATAACGGAATCGTCAAGCGTGTTTTCACTATCATCCCCGCTGCTGCCTTCCGAAAGATGTCGTCTCAACTCGAGAACTCAATCGGCGACGTTTCGTGGCTCCTCCGTGTCTCCGCGCCCAATAATTCCACCGATGAATACCTAGGTCTACCTCCTATAGCAGCTAACGAACCGATTTTGTGTCTGATTTGGGAACAGATCGCTATTTTATACACCGGAACCCTAGATGACCGGTCAGACGCGGCGGCGTCGCTTGTCTCGCTGGCGCGTGATAACGATCGTTACGGGAAGCTGATAATCGAAGAAGGCGGAGTCAATCCGTTGCTGAAATTGGTGAAAGAGGGGAAATTAGAAGGTCAAGAGAATGCTGCGTTAGCAATCGGATTACTAGGTCGAGATCCGGAAAGCGTTGAACACATGATTCACGCCGGTGTTTGCTCCGTTTTCGTCAAAATCCTCAAAGAAGGTCCGATGAAGGTGCAAGCCGTCGTCGCCTGGGCTGTTGCAGAGCTCATTTCACATTACCCTAAATGCCAAGATCTCTTCGCACAGCATAACATTGTGAGATTACTGGTTGGGCATTTGGCATTTGAAACAGTGGAAGAACACAGTAAGTACGCTATTACCAGTAACAAACCAACTTCGATTCATGCTGTTGTTCTTGCTAGCAATAACACTACCAACAACTCCTGTGGCTTCAACACGAATCAAGTCTACAAAACAGATGAAGATGATAAGCCTCGAGTTTCTCATCCTACTGGGCCTTACAGTCAACAACCATTCAGGATGCATAGTGTTGTAGCCAGTACAATGGCGATGAAGAACGCGAATAAAAAAACAGAAACCGTTATCAAAAAGCAAACTCAACATCATCATCACCCAAGCGTCTCATTATCCGCTAACAGTTTACATAAAGGAAGAGAATTAGAAGATCCCGCAACAAAAGCTTACATGAAAGCCATGGCAGCAAAAGCACTCTGGCATCTCGCAATAGGAAACTCCGCCATTTGTCGAAGCATAACAGAATCAAGAGCTTTGCTTTGTTTCGCTGTTCTCTTAGAAAAAGGTCCAGAAGACGTCCAATACAACTCTGCAATGGCGCTAATGGAAATTACAAGCGTAGCAGAACAAGATTCCGAACTGAGAAGATCCGCTTTCAAACCAAACGCTCCTGCTTGCAAAGCAGTAATCGACCAACTCCTAAAAATCATAGAAAAAGCAGACTCGAAACTTCTTCTTCCATGTATAAACGCAATCGGAAACTTAGCAAGAACATTTCGTGCAACCGAATCACAAATGATCCAACCCCTGGTTCAACTTCTTGACGAAAGAGAAGCTGAGATAACAAAAGCAGCAGCCATAGCTTTAACAAGATTCGCATGTTCAGAAAACTACCTCCATCTTGATCATTCAAAGGCGATTATCAGCCATGGAGGAGCTAAACATCTGGTTCAGTTAGTCTACTTTGGGGAACAAATGGTTCAAACCCCTGCTTTGGTGTTGTTATGCTACATTGCGCTTCATGTTCCAGATAGCGAAGATCTTGCAAAAGCTGAAGTTCTTACTGTTCTTGAATGGGCTTCCAAGCAATCTTTACTGATTCAAGATGAAATGGTGGAGTCTCTTTTACAGAACTCCAAAGGTAGGTTGGAACTCTATCAATCTCGTGGGTCCAGGGGTTTTCATTAAAGATTATTTTCATAAATTTATTGTTTGAAAATTTTCTTCTTTTCATTTTTGGGGTTTTAACTTTATTTCCTATATATATATATATATATATATATATATATATATATATATATATATATATATATATATATGTTTGTTGTTATTGTGGAGTGTAAATGAGATTTGTTGTTTTAGAGAGAAGAAATTGTAATCAAACTTGTTATTCTTTTGGTATATTAAAAGTGATATCTTTCAATAAAGATTTTGGGCTTAAAAATTAATGACTTAATGATTAAGTCAAATGACATGACTTAATTTATTAAGACAGTTTAGGTGTGCTTAGCTTCTTTGTCGTTATCTATAAAAATGAAAATGAAAAAGCAAAAGAAAATATTGGGTGTGTGATGATGAAAAGGATTGTGGATTACCTGGATGAACATTGGAAAAAAAAAAAAAACAAAAATTGATATAAAATATTAAAGAAATCTATGTGGCAATTTTACGTGATTAGATTCCCTTGATCTACATTTCTTCTATTCATCGCACATGGCGTCAATGATTAAAACGGCTCTTGATTTTTGTTATTATTTTCGTTAAGTTTAGTTTGATTCGTTTTTATTATTGTCTACTATTTTGCTTCGATTTCGAGTAATCCATCTATTTTATTTGATGTAATTGATTTCATGTTAAAATTCCACTTAAACTATAGTTTTTTTTAACTTGATACGTATCAAGTAAATTTGAAGTTGATGTTTGTGAAATTAACAACTTACCTTTATTTTTTTCAAAATGATTTAAAAATTAGTAAGAAAAAAAACTGAGCTTTAAAAAAATGTATATATGTTAAAAAAAATCAAGTTAAAGAAAAAATGGTTTAAAAGCAATAGCTAAAAATGTTAGACATAAAAGAAAGAAATACAATGAATGCAAGACGAAATATAGGTTCTTTGGTTAGTTGTCATATTAAATCGAAACATGTTTGTAACTGACTTTGTTTTCACTAAAGTGATTAGTCACGATTCTTTAAGTTGACAAATGACAATCATAATTATTGATATCTTTTAAATATATTTTGTTTCTTTTGACGTATCAAATTTTACTACCTTTATTTAATAAAACAACATTATCATAAAACTTTATGCATGACTATTTTCAAAAGATTTTATACAAATTAACTAATTTATCATATTATTATATATATATATATTAAAACAAATATTCCTATGTACACTTTACAGTTTTTATACATTTGCCTCAAAAAAAAAAAAAAAAAAAAAAATTCTATTTGATATATTGGGCACAAGGGGGCTTGGAATAGTATATATTTTTTGTTTCAAACTTTTCGCACAAGGGTTTTCTATTTTAGATTTTAGCCACAAGACTTTTTTATTTAAGATTTTGGCCACATGACTTTCCTATGTTGGCACTTTCCACCCTCTACTTTGTACGATGATGCTTTCCAAACATCTATTTTGTAAAATATCATCATTTTCCACCTTTTTAACTTTCATACATCGTTTTGTAAAAATGAACTCTACTCCTACACTGTATATTTTATTGTTAAAACATGTTTACATCTACGAAAAAGAACTATAGAATAAAGTTAACACTAAATCAAATTACTCTCCCTCCTCCGACCCACACAAACGGTGCCCATATTAAGCAAAATTTCGCATGCGTCCCAATAAGTTTTTATAAAATGTTAGAAAATTCTTTACAGTATTTGTTTCTTTTTGGGCATGTGTTGTATTTTAAAAGAAATATTATTTGACAATAGTATTAAAATAAATATTTTATTATCGTATAAATTTAAAATCAAGGATTAAAATGAAACAAATTAATAAGAATGTGAGATTAAAGTATAATTAAGATGTGAAATAAAAATATTATTAGAATGAAAAATATTAATTATATATAGGGGTGCAAACGAGTCAAGCTACTCGTGAGCTACTTGAGATCGGTTCGTTAAAAACTCGATTCAAACCTGATTTTAAACGAGGTCGGGTCGAACTCGAGCCTAATATTAAACTCGTTTATTAAACGAGCTTGAGCTCGAGCCTTTGTCACTAAGCTTGATTAGAATCGCGAGCCTAAACAAGCCTATATATAATATAATTTATTATTATTTTTATATATTAAAAAAAACATATTTGAGGAATTAAGGATTTAGGGTATTAATACACAAACTTCTTAATGAACTCGAGGCATGCTAGAAAAAAAAACGAGTCGAGCTCGAGCCCGATCTGAGCTTGCCTAATTCTTTACGAACTCGAGCTGAGCTCAGTATAATAAAGCACGAATCTAGTCGAACTCGAGCTCGAGCTCGAACCCTGTATAACTTAAACGAGCCTTAGTTGAGTTTGGCCAAGCTCGAGCTTGATTCGGTTCGTTTCCACTCCTAATTGTACAAAATTCAAAACACAAAAATTATATATTAAAATCTAAATAATATTGCCAAAAAAACTATGATCGGCATTGATTATTTATTTGTTTATTTTTTTTCCTGTTAACAAATAGATCATTACCTATAATTCCTTCAATATAATGGTAGAGATGTGTATGATACAGTTTGGTTCATTTATAGGCCAAAATCAAACCATAACCATTACAATTGGTCAATGAATTTGATGTTCACTGGATATCGGTTAATATTTGTTCATGTTGATAAATTTAATCATATCAGTCAATGATTTTGGTTTATAGTTAATATCAATTGTCCATGATAATTAAAATGATATTAAATTAAAAGTATATTGCTACAGAAAAAAATGAATATATATTATGTTACTTTATTACATAAACATCCAACTAATAGACTACAAATTAATAAACTCAGCAGATTAAAATAAGCTAAAAAATGAAACATCCCAAAAACACTGTCTGAAAATTTCGTTTAATTTACTAATAAAAACCATAGTCGATAAACTTCATATAAAAATCATAAGCAATGTATCTCAAAATATCATAACAACTGTCAAGTATATCAGAGTATAAACATCCCAAGCTGAACAAATGGTGTGTGTACTGCAATCTTCCCGAGATCCTCTTTTCAAAACTGAGTACCTGAAACAAAAACTGAAACTATAAGCACGAAGCTTAGTGAGCCCCCCCCAAACTACCACATACCATACAATAACATATAAAAAAATATTAGGCCTTGCCCACTACATCGGACCGAAGTCCGGAAACTGCATCGGACCGTTGTCCGGAAACTAACCAGGGCCTTGCACTCTGCATCGGACCGAAGTCCGGAAACTGCATCGGACTGAAGTCCGGAACTAACTGTATCGGACCGAAGTCCGAAACTAACTGGGACCTTGTCCCCTGCATCGGACCAAAGTCTGGAACTAACTGCATCGAACCGAAGTCCAGAACTGACTGAATCATAACATAGCATAACATGTCAACTAGCATGAACACATATACTGCATACTGCATCGGAACAGAGTCCGTAACACATAACACAAAACATGGTTGAATCACAAAGACATCAAGCACCCTAACTATTGCACCGGACCGAGGTCCGGAACTAACTGAACATAGCATAACATAATCATAGCATATAATATAAACACATATACTGCATACTGCATCGGACCATAGTCCGGAACACATAACTCATCTGTATCACAAAGACACCAAGCATAATGAACTACTGCATCAGACTGTAGTCCGGAACTACTGCTAACTAAATGGGCCGATATTGTGGCCGTAAACCCGTTCCTACTGGAAGGAAACTCACCTTACACTGCTGAAGTCCCGTAGACACAATCCCACATTGCTGAAGTCCCGCAGACTCAACCCCAACTGCTGGATGACAGATT